ATATATCCCCCGCGTTGTCGTCAATGTGTTAAAATACACCTTTTATCAGGCATTACAGCTGATTCTGCCTGAAAGTTTTATACATGGCCAAAGTAACCACTCCGTGTTTGACTCTGACGCTTTGAACGGAGAATTCTTACAGTTAATTGTATTGGTAATTGATCGAACTCGTAGACTGTACGGGGTTCTATCCTTCTTCTTACATAAACGTTCAGAGCAATCGTATTCCTCAATACACAGCATCCTATGAGGACATAGCATAAAATCGAACTACTGTCGGCATAGCAGTATCGCATCTCTAGCTATGAGGACTACAATCACAACAGATTGAAACAATGACACGTTACTCTGCCATCCTGATGAATGAATTCTGAGGCGTCCGCTCACAATCAGCCCACCTCACTAAATTGCACAGAGCGACGTTTCACGACGTCCGTTCACGACGTAATGAAAAAGATCAACAATATTTTGCGTGTGCGGTACTCACCATTACCTACTATACAGCCCGTGCAACACATATCTCAACTCGTCTCCCATAAACAAATATAGCGCTCTTGTTCACCAGAATAAAATCTTTTACACTTCCGAAAGAAAGACAGCAAACTTCTCTGGTGAGCTAATAGCCGCCGCTGTGAGGGAATGAATCTCGAAACGGAACCGAGATCGTTCAATCAGTAGGAATTATAAAAAGCTCTACATGAAGACTCTCGTCTCGGTCAGTTCAACCATCTCATCACAAAAGTCGACATTCGCACGACGATTCTTCCTGAGTAGGTAGGGACAGTACAGCATAAATATGACGATTTAGTGAACTTTGGGACGAACCTTCTGCCGGTTCACAATTGACCGGACCGGACCCTGAAGTAACAATCAAATAATAGGTACAGCGAAAGGGAAACAGATTTGTGGGCCGAAAGCCGCAGGGTGGCCATATTACTGCGACTAGGGCATTATTATTTTAAATAACGAACACTAGCCTAATGAAGCGACCAGACTTCAAAAAATTTGATGGCATTGAAATTTTCTGGGTTATATATTTTATGCAAGACTAACCAACTCTATGTGCTCAACCCTTTGGGCTTGTGATTTTTCAAGACCACAATTATTCGTAACACTTACATAACTACAAAAAGAGCGTAGCAAGATCTTAAGATTAAAGGGGGAACGCATTAGTGTCATGAAGGAATGCTATGAAATATCGTTATTTCAAAATCGGCGACTCGACGTATGTCACTGAATCCCGCTGACTTGTGAACAGGAGTCAGCTGGAATCCTCTTATCTGGTTCAAAGTGAGTGGGACGTATGATTCGATGCGGCTGTGGCTTCTGACAATGACAATTTAGTAGAACTAATTGGATGTTATTACTGATGATGCTAACGGACAAAACGAAACAGTTTTGGGCTTGAAAGCAGGATGCGTGAAATACAGCACCCATATAGGAAGGAACAGCAATAGGTCAATTTGAAAAGGTCTTGCTGTCAGCGTTATGAAAGCATTAGCGTAGATGAAGAAATAAACCTGAAACAAAAAATGAGAAGGCAAAATGCACTCGATTTCTGCAAGGCACCAGAGGGTTTTAAAATCAGAATCAGTCAGCATCTTGTTAGTTATTAATAACAGACAGGTCGCAGTTCTATTTTTTAAACTCACAAGTATTATAAATTGAAGGTGTAAGAGAAATAATTTTAGCCAGGCGTGTGTTTTTCCACAAACAGCGCTGCTTTGAATTTCCGTTGCGCTACATTATAAGATGAACTTTTCCAAGGATGGAAAAATTGGGAAAGATCACCGCGTCACAATTGCTGGTCAGAATTTACAATAAAGTAGAGAAAACCAACATTCGTCAGAGCCAGGCTGATCATACAAATAGATGTTGTTAAGACGAGAAATGTTAGTGACCTCTCGGCTTTGAGCATTGCATTGCTTCGGTTGTTGGTTCTAAAATATTCGTTTAATTAGAGATCGCGAGCATAGCCTGCACTCAAGGCCAAAAACTATGCGCAAAAACAACAACAAAAAGTAAAAACTAAAATTAAGGTCAAATAAAGCATCTGGAAGGTTGGATGGATTTCACTTCGTTCTCCAACTTCTAAAAAGATAGTTGCAATATCGGTTTGGCTCATTTACAGCAATCCGAGACACTTGAGAGAACCAGGTCTGGAGTTACTCGCTTGAAAGAGCGCAACATGAGCAGTGAGCCAGATCAAGCACCCACCTAACTTACGACTACTGCAATTTTTCAACTAGGCACAGCAGCTTGTAACATTGATCCCTTCCCGTTCCCTGCTTCGTTCATCATTATCCTTGTTATCCTTAACGAAATTAAAACGCAAAGTAAGAGCTCTCGGAAAACACACACCTAATACTATGAAATTGTTGGCTTTGCAGCTCTCCTTTCTCATGTAGTTGTTTTCAACATAGTTGCAAGTACGTCTTCAGCTTACTATCTATTTTGATACTTACTACTATTTGCTTTCAAAAAACTGTTTATGTTTTAAAAACATTGGCTTCTCCTTACGTTTTAGCTGTAGCTGGCTTCTTCACAATCTTCTCACACTTTATGCGCTACCAAGTAGATGAATAAACAAATAAATAAAGCGGCATTACCACTTTTGGAACTTTTCAGTAACCAATTACTTTGGAGACAAGAACTTTCTAAGATTTTCCGTTTTATCTGCCGGGTCGCTTTCATTTTGCCACATTTCATTAGCTGTACTGAAATTATCGTTACAAACGCTGAGAAACATCCTGAAAGAAATAATCCGGTAGTGATAAACTATTATTTCCATCTCCTTGCATATTGACCCGACAGCGAAAGAAGAGCGAGTGCGAGAGGGTTGGTTGCTGCTCTCATAAGGCTGAGCAGTGCTTGAGAGTTTGATCGACAGTCACTATTCTGTCGACTCCAATCCCTAAGGTTGATGAAATTCTTTCATTCCGAAACCAGCGAAAGTTCCCACAATCCTATAGCCTCATTGGTGGCTCACACTGTATTTCATGTAGGCTTCGAATTCCTGCGCATGATCCAACTGGATAATTAAAGTGTATGACGAGCTCATGAATAAAGAGGGTGGAGACTAGGTAATATATTAACACAAGAATAAGGAGAAATTGCTAAATTGAGGATCTTGGCTCTTGGGGCAAGGGGTAAATCCTTGCACAGGCGAAGACGTGATGGAACGGTAGGTTGATTACTAGGGTACCGCAAGGGTTTGAATACATGGAAAAAGCATCTGCGACAAATTTAGTGGCATCTGTAGTGAAACCAAAAAAGAGTCACTATTATTGTATTGTTATTCTGACGGGAATAAATATAAAAAATTAATATAAAGTAACTATAAAATTGAATAGTAAAGGGTTTTGCTTAACTCTGAATGAGGGCGCGTCGGTTATGAGTAACCTGCATCACGAGGTTTTCAAATTACATTGTAGATTTGAACGCATCGCTAACATGGACTTCTTAATACTACATTGAAAACATCGCTAATCTCAAGAGTAGAACATGCTTAGCTACTGGCTTCTAAATCGGCTTTATAATATTGAAATCTCTTGGAAAATCCAAACCTTCCAGACACTTTGCGAAGTTTGGTCAGCGTAACGGTGGTGGATAATAAAATGACCAACGAAGAAGCAGATGCGGATATAGCAGAGCACATACTATTCCGCCACTGAAAATTCTTAGTTATGCTCTAATACGGTAAAACAGCGTTCGGTGGAAGGAAGAACAGAAATTAAAAAACTTGCGAACAAAATATCATAGCAAAATATAAGCAATATTTTGATTAAGAAAAAACAAACCTGTGTGGAAAACTTGTCTGTAGTCATTTAAGCTCTTCATATTCACATAAGTCCTCCAAGTCTGAGTATAAGTACGCTGGATATGTAGAAACCAGTCGTGTGTCAGTAATCGCGCAAAAGAAGTAAATAGTTAAGATGCATAAAGGAAGCAGCTGCTTGAGCGCCTGAGAATATTTAGACTACGAGCTGTTTTGAAAGGCAGCTTACGATGAGGCTCGCAACACCACAATTCTTTATATCTTTCAGAAACTGTCCCATGATCGTCAACGAAAAAGTGTTTCTTGTGGAAAGAAAATAGGCTTAGCAAAGGGGAGGAGGTACACTAACATTAGATTTTATGCAGATCTATTTTTGTGTATTTGCTTTCCCCCCTGATAATGCTGGGCCAACCAAACCGTCGTCGCTTCATGACTACTAAGTTGGTACCCATCTCGCCCGCTTAAGACAAAAACCTCGCTTTTACATCGCTGCTAGGCTCAAAATACAAAGTATATGCTGAGGTACGTGAGCTTCTGGAAATGTTGTTTGCTAGGATGAAAAGTTTGCAACGTCAGTTCACCGCACCTGGTTGCCTTTCATCGGTGAGCATATTATTATAGTTCTCGCTAGAGATAAGAAAACAGCGGAATAAAATGTCATGTAGAGCGAGTGAAACGACACCACATAGATCACGGTGATATAAGGGCCCACAGGTAATGTGGTCATCCAGCCGGTAATAAGACCCGAGAGAGGAACTCTCACAGCAATGACGTCCAAAACGAAGAACATAGCATTCTATAAGTTAAACACTTGTGAAACGTAGAAATCTATTATGGAATGTGCCGATATCTAGTTTTGTCCATCTCGGAGCATCGAAATTCATGCTAACTGCAGACATACTGTCTTCTGCTTACCATGATGCAGTCGTGGGTAAACAAGGCGAAAAACGGTGTTCTAAAGAATTTCTTGAATTCAGGATCGAATATAAGTAGAACAATTTTCAATGTCACAGCCAGACTAGGAATGCCATATAAAATATATATGATTAGAAAGTAGGCATGCTGAGTGAAGACAATTTTGAAGGAGTCGCGAATTGTATCATTTCCGTGGACACTTCCCGGCAGTATTAATTCCATGAGTGACCAGGAACAAGCTATTCGCACTGTGGCGTAGGAGAGCTTGTCGAAAGCCGATGACAAGTGACAGCTGGAATTATCAGTGGGGAAATAATCAGCGACAAGTGTTTGCAGATTTCGTGCGGGTGATATTTCGAGAGTGTATGAGTCTAGAATGAATACAGGTAGACTGCAGATTCTCTTAATGCGTATTTCTACTATTCGAAATCCAGCCAAATACGATGTCAGTGATCATCTCACTTGTGAGCATTTGGCAATTCGTGGATCATACCTTCAACAAAGATATCTTAGGCGAGTATTATAGGAATCGGTGATGAGGCTTCTTTCCAATCCAGTGTTAGGTCTGCAAACGGTTTTCAACGTCAACAGCAGACTTCGCCAATGTCATGTCGCAATCATATCATTTGATGTCCACTACTGCAAAAGAGCGAAACTTTTGACATAGCAGATTCCCACACGATATCGAACAAAAAGTACTTTTAATACCCAGCAGTCTTGATCAACTCACCAGAAATGTTGCGCCATGCCAGTCAATATAGCTTATTCTTGAACCTAATTGGTTTCAGAGAAACCCAAAGACGCGATAAGTAGCCTATGGACACTCACTGCTGTCTCGTCAAAAATTCGGCTAGGTTCTGTGGTTCACCTTTAGCTTCTAAGCGTTTTAACATAGCTTTCATTTTCAATTTTTTTGTGATAGCTGACTCAGAAAATCTTCTTTGTTTTATTGATTCACCAACCAAGGTACGTATGATACTTTTTGGGGTTACCATGATCAGGTTGCCATGTAGGGTTCTTGCCTTGGTATAGCTTGAATTAGTCGAGAGACCAAGAATTTTTTTAAAGGCAAAATTCAGGATTAAATTGTGAGGCAATTCCACTCAAATGTGAAAGTAGGGGTAGGAAGTGGACCGCCAGTGGAGAAAAAAGAAAAAAAAATCGTGAAATGCACAGGAAATACGAGCCTTTTGCTCTACGCTGCGAGAAGTTCAAAAGGCCGGCAGGGAGATGAGAGATAATGTGAGCGCGGAGAGCGCTAGAGAAGTACGAGTAGAGAGAGCATAGCAGATCAAGTTAGCGACGCAGACAAGATATCGAGCGGTGGGCGGAGCGTGTCGCAACAGGTGGAGCGTGTCAAAGTTCTTAGCGCCTAGCGTCTAAATAACGCTTTTCGAAGTAGGGAAGTGACGCGAACTCTACACTTGCGTACCTAGCGCTTCTAGCCACCGTAAAGGCTCATTGAGTTTGCCTGAGCCTGAACTTTGCCTTTAAAGCACACACGGACATAACGGTATGGAATGAGAGTGAAGAAACGTCCGAGAAAATCGAAATTGTTCACGCAACCTTGGACCTTTTAGTACTTTCTGAGGCTTAGTCCCCAAAACTAATCTTCAAGGCGTAGCCCCTTCATTAGGCATTGCCCTCAGTGCGAGCGCATGCCTCTATACTGCGCTACAAGTTCAGGGGAATGATAAAATGTCAGGCATCTTTGTCTTCTCTGCAGGACGAGATTTTACTCAAAATTAGGTCACTAGTAGATTTTTTATGCATTAAGTAAGGCCGGTGTTACTCTGTATAAAGGATTGCAACATTAGAATTGGCAATGTTTTGACTGCATTAGGCTCCTCGCATAGAAAGATCCTTCTCTAACGAAAGCAACTTGACATTACTTATAGCTGTTATTATGCTCATCACCAAAATACTGTTCGACGGCATCCACTCAAATGTTCTGACCTTTCGCCGAACAGTAGTTTCGCAAACGCAGTGATTTCCCAGGTGCATTGCAGCACCTGGAGGAAGCACGCCGCGTGTCATATGAGGAAGTGGTTAAACGAGTCGTCATAAAATTTTCGATTATGCGGGGCGGTCAAAACCCTTTGCCCAACAAGTTTTCTTCGATCAGATTTTACCTGATAGAAGTTTCGGAGAGAAGCTGTCTTTTTCGTTTGAATGTCTTGCGTCCGAAAAGGGCAGGGATGACTGATTGTAAGTCATGTCTGCACCTCTGACACCAGCGGGCTCCATCTCCGCCGAGGTTTAACCATGATTTGCACAATTGCAAAGATTGGAAATTAACAGGTTCCCTGCTAAACGCCTTCGCCACAATAAATGTCCAAAAACTCGCATAATAATCAACGCATAATAATCATGTGCCACTCAGAATGTGGTGCATGGAGCCATAGCCCTCGCCTGATTTCTGTGGTCATGCAGCACTGACCACCGAGTAGCGAAATACCTCGGCCCATGTATCTAGTTTGATTAAAAGAGATACGTAGGATCGGTAGTTAGAAGTCTCGTGAAGTTGCTGATCTGATGAAGCGCAAGAATATTCAGTTTCCTATTCCTTCAGAACCGCGATGGAAAAGCTAACCATAAGCCGCAAAATCTGTGTAAGGTGTCAAATTCTAGAATGGAGAATACATCAGGGAAAACAGGGGAGAAAACCATATGGCCTGACTCTAAAGGATCACGCCTCTGCTGCATATACAATCACTGATCGAATAATGTCGGTGAGCTATAGCCCTTTTTTCATGCTTTACATTGGCTGGCCCCCTTGGGATGGCATTACAAGGCTTCTTTATTTTCGGCAAGGCCTCAATCAACGCATTCAACACCCGACGTGCCCAGAAAACTCCGATGAACCTTAACAATTTCTATATGGGCGGTTTTTGAAATTAATGAAGTTTCAGCATTTTGTGATATTTTGAAGAAGACTATTTTCTGAACTTCCAAATTCCCTTTTTGCACCTCACGAAGCACATTCAGAAGGGGTTACGGAATTCGATAGAAATTGTGCGCATTTGTTTAAAATTTCCATTGGATTTTGACGAACACAAATATACCCACATAACCGTAAGGGAGGGAGTATCTAAATCTTGTTGGGAGGGGTATGGTAAAATTTTTGAAATTTGCCGGACTCGACGGTTATTTTCTGGCTGCTCTCAGTATGCAGACCATGGGTCGCTTTGCGAATCTTTCATATTTTGACTCGGAATGAGTGAATCTTCCACTGACATTACTCGCTCCTTTCTCTTCATGGAAAATTTAGTGCCTCCCTTGGAGCTTCCATATATTCAAAGTCGGACACTAAGCTTGTTTTCATGGCCATTCGTTTGTTGCTTCGCGGTACTCAGTTCGCTATGAAGCAACAAATGCCTGATCGTAGTTATAAGCTCTTCGTCATCGACCGAGTCCTTGGACTTAAAATTGGTGCTGCTCCGCACATTGAGGTTAACTGACGCTAGACTTGAATAATGCTTAAATTTCCCTGGATCTAGCTTATTTGATACACGAATAGCATTTAGCAATTACCTAGGCAATTAACTTTCACACATCCGTTATGAGAAAATCAATATTACATCGTTACGGATACCTGTACAAATTTGTCAACTACAGCATCACTTCTCGGCTACGCCCATTGCAACTTCTTTTCAATCCGCATATTACAACATTGTCGTTCAGCGGATTTTGTGTTTGTTCAGCGGATTTTGTGATTTATTTTGGGATTTTTCGCGCATTTATGATGCCGAAATTGCAAAAGCCAGCCATTCAGCCAAAGCATATTTTATTGACGCTATTATAATACTTTTCTACACATCTAGCAATCATTGGGTAGCCAACTCTTTTTTCTATGAATCAGTGTAACTGCCCGAGACTTTGACTTATCGAAGTTCATAGATCGTGATTTTCTTTTCCACTCTCCTTTGAGACGAGTGAGTGACATTCATTTCGAACAGGATCACTAAAATAGGCTGGCACTGACAAAACCCACTTCCCCCTTCCCGCTTTGATTTCTATCAGTGTTATCCTTGCAATGGTAAATATCACCTTGGATGAGGCTCGGTGCTCTATTAATCAAAATCTCATGAGAAAATCGTCTTGTGGCGATTTCAAGTGAAAATTTGCTATCTTTTCCCCGCTATCTTCGCTTTACTGAGTGCTATTTACAAAAGGTTTGTCCATTTGTTTGCGAATGTCTAGAAGATATCAAACAATTCGTATTACCATTGATTACTGTTATTACTATTAGTGACCACAATAATTATTAATTACTACTATTGAATCTTCCCAAAAAATCACGCTCAATGATAGGATTTGCTGAAGAACTTACTTACTTACGCACTTACTTGGCTGTTTATATAGTGGTCGGCAGGCCTTAATACAATCCCTAATATCTGTTGCTTTAATGTGAATACTGATCAGGATGAAAATCGTGTCGAGGACATACGCAATTAATTAATCAAAAAAATCCTGCAAAATAATATTATAAACGCCTTCTCTTGTCATCTATGCACTTCTTTCATCGCTGCACACTTTTGTGTATTTGCTGAAATATCGACTCGAGGAAAGAGGCATTAACTTTGTGTGACCTCAAAGTCAGGTTCGTTCAGAAATGCACAGAAATCCTGAAGGCACGGGGTTGCGATTGAATCTTAATTCTTTCGTATAATTAATATAATATAATGCTATACGTTTTGTTAA